GAAAGTCTGAGAGGGGAGGAGCGTAGCAGAGCCGCCGCGGGAGAGGAAGTGCCCAGCCGGCATTTTCCCGGACATGTTTGGCTTTTCGGCAATTCCCCCCGGACGGGGGTTTGATTGCTGAAAAGCCGGACATGTCCAGGAAAAACCGGACGTATGGTAACCCTAGACAACAGTGCTCCAGCCAAAATTTCAAACCTACCATCAGAAAATGCTCCCCTATTTGCAACAAGATGCGATTTAGAAGAGTCAAAGTTAAACACCCAGCAAACCAGCGAGTGTGTGTTCGAGTCCCTGGTGAGATGGTCCAACTTCTCACAGGAGACAGATCGGTTTCCTTGGTGTTACACTGCTCTATTATTGGCTGGAAGCATTACCTTGATCATTGCATCACTTTCAATAGGATCTTGCTCATCCTCATCAGACTGCAATTCATCAGCATTCAATTCTTCATTCACTTCTGAAGCCAACCCGGGCCCTGGCTGCCGTTTAGAGGTCTTTACTGCATGCAGGGCATATGGTGTCAAATGTGCCTCTTTGTTATAGGCTCGTGTAAAAGCTGCTTTGACCTGTTCGGGGTGAGGAGACATTATAAGCACTAGATTAAAGACTCCCCGTTGTTTGGCTAACCAAGCTATGATCTGGTCAAGGACTCCCCCAGAGAAGAGTATCTGTAGCCTAAGGTTTGCAGAAAAGGAGACAGCTATCAGGGAAAGGAATGCGGGGAGTACACAGGAGGACGCATCTAAAATGCAGATTAAGGGCCTAATCTGTATTTCTTCTTTGAGATTCAGTCACTTGGCTAATGAATATTTGAAAGCATGGTTATAGATCAGCTTTCAAAATTGTAACTTTGGGAGCAGAAATGGTAACCTGCTTCAGCCATCCATGTCCTGTCCCAATGCCACGTCACAGTGGATGTTATTCTGTGTTTTATTCATAAGGCCAAAGAATTATCATACATTTATAGAAGGAGGTAATAGCAGAACGTAACTAGTGAATTTTACCTTGGGGTCCAGTTTAGAAAAGGGACTAGGTTTGCCTCCCCAGCTGGATATTTCCATAATATTTTCAACATCTTCTCTCATCAAGCAGTAGGAGTCCATGAATGTTACAGCATCCTGTACACCTTCTGTTCCTAAGCTTGTCAAGGGTCTAACAAGTGCATCCCGCAAGTATGACAAATACTCCATGTTTACGGCTCTCTTGCTGGTGTGGGTTCTTGCCAAATGAAGAGAGATTGCATTAAACAGGATTTGCTTGAGGCTCATTCCTAAAGGTCAGCTCCCAGTGCAAATCAAAATACACCCTCATGAATAGGCTCTCACCATGTTAAGAATCAACAGTGTCTAGGAA